AATTTAAGATTATAACTTAAATTCATGTCCAAAAAGACCTTTTGTAACAACCTACAAACTTAGACTGTGAATTTGCTATTTTAATTTGTGTGTTCTCAATTACAAGTTACGATTTCTCAATTACATATTATGATTTCTCAATTATATCTTACGTTTTCTCAATTACATGTTGTGTTTCTTAATTACATGTTACGACTTCTTATTTACATGTTGTGTTTCTCAATTACATATAACGTTTTCTCAATTACATGTTGTGTTTCTTAATTACATATTACGACTTCTTAATTACAACTTTCATGTTCTCATTTACATCTTGAAAAGGTGTAGTTCGACATGTATCGATTAATTTTGCTTGACCAGGAAAAATGAATTTATTGAGACAGCTGGCACGTTTAGATGAGAAGTTAAAAAAATATGGTATATCTTTGATTTAATCAAGAACATTTCTAACTCTGAACATTGCATGATTTACTTACAACTAAATTAAGTTTACGGCATGCACAGTGAACAAAAATAGCCTTTGAATTGATAAATTTAATTCCTGATGAAATACCTTTTAACTTACCAGACATTGCCCCAGCACCATCATATTCTTGATCTCTATATTTTTGAATAACAAGACCAAGATCATTAATTGCAGAAACTATGTTTTGCACAAGACTAAGACCAGTTGAAGCAGATTAACATTCAATGAGCCATAGAAAGTCTTCACAAATAACATTATTACAGTCAATGTATCTTATAACTAAAGATACCTGTTCAACATTAGAACAATCAGAGGCTCCATCACACAAGATAGAAAAATAACCTGACTTTTTAATATTATTAATTAGAACTTCTTCGATTGTTTTTCCACAGCATTCAATAAGTTCATTTTGTGCTGTTTTAGATATATAGGCTGTATTTTTAGAAGCAGAACGAATATGGTGCTCAAGAACTTTATCACCTGCTTCAATACAAAAATTTAAAAGCTCTACAAAGTTACCTACACCAATGTTGTCTTTACATTCTCCGATCTCTGGATGATACTTACTGTCGTCAGGATAACCTTGAAAAGCAATATCATTGCGACCAAGAAAAATAATTGTCTTTATAATTGGAATTAATTTATTTCAATTACTTATAATAAATTTTTTTCTCAGATTATCGATGTCAACTTCAATCAGATTTTTTGATGAAGTCGACAATTATTATTATGATCCATATAAGCATGAATTGCATTACACCATATTTTAAAAGGTTTTTGAATAAAGTTGATTATTGAGGTATTGTTTGGAATTCTGGTTTCCAACAGTGTACATGGAAGGCAGTATACTCCATCTTCAATCTGTGAGTAAGCTAACCAGGAATATTCAAGTGGCCATTTATGTAAAAATGATCAATTGTTTTTTTCAGCAGAAACAGGAAAAACAAAAGACGAGTTAAAATAAATATTTTATTAATTAGATCTAATAACATTGAATCATCTTTGCCAGCAGATAGTTGTCTTCCGCGCTCATAGTGAGTAGAAACATCATAAAAAGGAAGGCTTGAAGACTGATCTGATGAACAAGGAATACAATTAAGTAAGATTGGATAAGAAGTAATATCAATATTTACATCTATAATTTTAGTTTCATTACCTATGCCAAACTTTATGTGAGATTGAGCTAATGATTTTTTTTTTTGAAAATAGATTTTTAGAAGGTTGACAGGATAAATTAAGAACCTTAGCGAAATGCAGTAGAACACTTGGCAAAACTGAACACGAACCTCTTTTTAAATCACCTTTGAAAAATTTCTTTGAGCGTAAAACTTCTCTTTTCACAATAGGGACAAAAAGAGCGACAATCAGTATTACACCTTAAAATACTCAGAGTTTCTTTATTTGTTTTATGATCACCACGTGGGTATATACGTACATTAAATAAGTTTTTATATTTTTCAAGTCTAAATTCAGGATAAATAGACCGAAATTGTTTATTTAATACTGTAGATAATGCAATTAAACAAAGAAAAGAGGCAAATTTATTGTTATAGGCTTCTTTTTTTATAAGTTCAGCAATATTTATATCATTTAATTTTGTAAAAGAATCATAAGACTTAAATGAAACACATGCCATGAAAATATTAGAGAGTGAAGAAAAATGTTTAGATTCCATTTGGTTTAGGATTGTTGGGTATCTCAAATAAAAGGTTGCTTTCTCAAACAACTCAACAGAAGTTAATAGTCGAAGAATTTCATGTGTTTTATCTGATGAATTTATTGATAAAGCAGCAAAGTTGTAAAGACAGTTACCATTTTCCATTGACCTGTAAAGTCATAACATATATAAACTAAATATAACTAAAACAAACATATTTAACTAAACATTATTTTTCAAGAATTATTTTTTATAAACAAAATAAAACATAAAAAAAACGTGTTTAAACTCATACTTTAAAACAATATAGTCTTCATTTTCTTTTTGCATAAGCTTCCATTTCAGAATTTCTTAAAGAAAGAAGATCTTTGTTTACAACAGGAAAGTTTGAATTTAATTCTTTGAGATTATTACGAAGCTTTGCTTTGTAAGTCGTAATATTAAGCAAATGCTTGGCTTTAATGGCATTGGATAGCAACGAATCCATAATTACAAACAAAAATTAAATTTGTAATAAAAACTAATATTTGATAAACTTCAATTTATTCGCATACTTAAGGCTTTATGCGAATAATTAAGGCGTTAATAGAATAATTTAGGATTCATTTTTATATATAAACGGAACCGAGACACCCCTTTTGATCAAACATCCCTGCAACTTTTTTTGTTGTCTACCGGAAATTCGGGTCAAATGAATCCTGAAACAATAGGGATTTTTTTGGCCTTTATTACGGCAAGCAAAACAATAACGATCAATGATATATATTAACTAGATGTCTAACTTCCGAAAAAAAGTGAAGCACATTTTTTTTTGCCAACCAGCATATGATTAGCTAATAACTTGTTTTGCCAACCAGCATCTGCCCAGTAAGCACAAGACGCATTTTAGACACTTATAGACGTCTAAAACTAGTCTAGGTAAAGACGCACTTTTATTGACGTTTTAAAGACATCTTTTAGACGTCTTTTATGAATGCGTTTTTAAAATGACGTTTTAAAGGCGTGTTTTAAAAAGACTAGAAGACGTCAATTTTCAAGAAATCTTCTAGACGTCTTTTATAAAGACGTTTTTAAAATGACGTTTAAAAGGCGTCTATTTAAGCGTTAAAAAAACGTCTAGAAGATATCTTTTTTTAAGACATCTTCTAGACGTCTTTAATAAATGCGATTTTAACATGACGTTTAAAATGCGTCTTTTTAAAGTTTAAAAATACGTTTAAAAGACGCTAATAAATAGTCTAAAATACGCATTAAAAGACGTCTAGATCAAAGCTAGATAAAAGACGTCTTTTCTGAGACCTGTTTATAAATATGTCATTATGACTTCTTTTTGACGGCTTTGTCATTACGCGTTAAATAGATGTCGTATATTCAAAGTAAAAACATAGTTTTTATTAATTTCAATAATTTGTTCAAGTTTTAAGTGTAAATTACTTTAAATTAAATTACTTTTTTACACAATTGCTAAAATTGTTGTCACAGGAATCACTAAAATAATTGCTATAATAATATATCTTTTTTTTATTAATAATTATTTTGCTTTTTTAATAGATAGTTGACTGATCATGATAATAAGTGAAAACGGCAAGAATAATATATAAGTTAAATATCAGTACTTTTAGTTTTTATACACCCACAAGCCATATAATAAGTCAAGTATGCGGTCAAAAATTAGCTAGCAATGTGTAGGTCAAATTTTATTATAACTAAAGGTAAGTTATAAATGTTTTAAACAATGTTTTGATGTATATTTGTTATTGTTATTTATTATTTTCATCTTTGATGCATCAACCGTTGGTGGTGATTACAGCAATATTATTTTGATTGCTGGTTCCTATGTATATTTTGTGCATACGAAATTATAACAATATATGATGTTATAAATACAATGAATAAATACCACATACTACGCGAAAATGTTACGTCATGTACTTAAATTTATCTTGAAAAAAACGTCTAACATACGTCTAAAACGCGTTTTTATAAAGACGTCTTCATATAGCCTTATGATCTAGACGTCTACAAGTGCGCCTTTTAGACTTCTTTAAAGACATCTTTAAAACGTCTTTTAAACGTCTTTGTGCTTACTGGGTGATTGGTTAACAAATATTACGGAAAGACAAAAAGCAAAAATAAAATCAAAACAAAAAATATTTGTGTCAGTTAAATCAGAAAATGGGTTTAAAAGTTAGTCAGGTTGGAATGATATTGTGAGATGCTTTAGTATAAGATTTTTATAAATGTAGGTTAAAAGTAACGTCAGTTACTTTTAATTTGCTATTATTAAAAATAACTGCTAAGCTGGTAATTTTAGTTTAAAGTAAAAAGACTTTGAACCTTCGGAAAATATTTCAAGTATATAGGTACGTGCGTATCTGGCTTTTTACGGCACCGATTTCAAAGTTAAAAACTGAAACCTTTTTTTTCACAGCGTGCTCGAAGTCGGTGTGGTAAGAATGTATTTATTTGTCTTTTTTTTTAAAATTTATATCAACTCAGACTTTATTAAAAAAGTCGAATGTTTAATGTTGAATAAATTATGTGTTTTTTTTATGGTTAACAAATTTTTCAGTTATTTTATTGCTATTTAAAATTTCGTTCCTTTTCTGGAAGTGCATTCATATTCTTGCGGCGAAAAAACCACGTGATTATTGCGTAATTAAAAACAAAAATATCTACCATTATGATATGGGGGCAAACATACGCGCTAATTTCAGTACATCATTACTTAAACGCCTTGAAAATGTCTTATGATTATCAAGAAAAGTTATCTAAAAAAGGTGCTGAACGTTACCAGAACAATATTTAGCGTTATATTGAAATAAATCTGTACAAATGCTTAAAGGAATCATGGAATTCATTAATTAAATCAATTAATTCATCATTATGAAATTATTGCACAGTTTACAGATGTAGTCAATAAATAAAACAAAAATATTACATATTGATATTCTAATAACATTTAAAAATTCTATATTTTGCTTAAAATTTTTCTCAGTGTAATATTTATTCCTCATGTTTTTAATATATGTGAAATAAATGTTATAAATAAAAAATATTTTTTACAGTTTAATAATGAAATGATCAAAATTACTAATTACAACAACTTGAATTATAACATCGTAACAATATTTATAAAGTTTTTTGGTAAATGGTATGAGGATTAACAATATTATGTCTTAACTTTTAAAAAATAACATATATGACTTTTTATCTTCATTCACGAAGGTACTCTCTAAAACCAGTGACAACAGCAGAAACTCTACTAAAGAAAATGAAACATAGTCAGCATGCTTTTCAAAATTTTGAAAAGCATCTAGACTATGTTCTTTTTTTTCCTAAAAGAGAAACATACTCACAATGAATAAAAATGAAAAAAACTTAATAAGTTCAAGAAAAATTTCTGCCCAAATATTTTGACGATTCAAATACAAAACTTACCAGATACAAAATGTTTTGAGCATACTTAGACATGTTTTGCAACCAAAGTTTGTTTTTGCAAGATGAATCAATTCTATATAAAGCATAAATCCCCGATTTTCTTCTCTTTGGATCAGGAAGCAAAATATAAAAAATCAAGTTCGGATGACTGTTAACATTAATTGAACAATTAAAAACACACTTCTCCATTTTCAAGCGCTTTGTTTGCCCCCATACCATAATGGTAGCCGTTTTGTTAGTTAAAGTGACGTCACGTTCGCCGCAAGGATTAATGTTAATAGTCATCTGAACTTGATTTTTTATATTTTGCTTCCTGATCCAAAGAGAAGTACTTATTTGTTAACTGACTTATTTGTTAAAAGCATGTTGACTATGTTCATTCAAATACAAAACTTACCAGATACAAAATGTTTTGAGCATACTTAGACATGTTTTGCAACCAAAGTTTGTGTTTGCAAGATGAATCAATTCTTATACCTCATACCTCAAACATGCTTATATTTTTTTAGAAAATTATGTACAAAAAAGTCATTGCAATAAATCTCAAGTTATTCAAGTCAGTTAACAAATAAGTACTGACAATTCGTTGACTGGAGTGGAAGATGTTAGTGTCTTGAACCAACATGAAACAACAAGTTAACTTAGCTGAGAATGATGGTTGTTTAAAAATAATGCAGCATTGGCTATGTAAGTGATTATGTGTATGTTGGCTCACTCATAAGTCAATATATATGTGTTTATGTTCTGTGTCGACCTCTGGTGTCGTGTTGGCTCACCCTTTAGACATTATATGTGTGTTTGTGTTCTGTTTCAACCTCTAGTGCGGTGTTGATTCACTTGTAAGTCATTATGTCTATAATTTTATTTTGTTTTATTGTGTTATTATGTAATGTTATTGTTGTGATGCTTTGTGTTGATAGACAACTTTGCTTACCTTCTCGTTGGTGCCTCTTGCTACAAATGATTATTAGATAGTTTTTTTACTTAAACTCGTTACTTCTAATCATTTACTAATAGGCAAGAAACATGTTTTAAAGTAAAACATACTTTTAATGTTGTCATTTTTAGTCTTTAGGATTGTTCCTAGGTCACAAAAACAATCTAACAAAGTTTCTTCTTTACTATTTATTTAGTTATATTTTTAATTAAATTTTTATTTTTCATGTTAACATGATACATAAATCATTAATTTGTAAATGCTTTCAGCATAAATTGGTTCTATTTTCTTTAGTAGAGTTTCTGCTGTTGTCACTGGTTTTAGAGAGTAATATTATGTCTTGGCTTTTAAAAAATAACATAAATGACTTTTTATCTTCATTCACTTCGTGAATGAAGATAAAAAGTCATTTATGTTATTTTTTAAAAGCCAAGACATAATATTGTTATTCCTCATACCATTTACTAAAAAACTTTATAAATATTGTTACGATGTTATAATTCAAGTTGTTGTAATTAGTAATTTTGATCATTTCATTATTAAACTGTAAAAAATATTTTTTATTTATAACATTTATTTCACATATATTAAAAACATGAGGAATAAATATTACACTGAGGAATATTTTAAACAAAATATAGAATTTTTAAATGTTATTAGAATATCAATATGTAATATTTTTGTTTTATTTATTGACTATTTCTGTAAACTGTGCAATAACTTCATAATGATGAATTAATTGAATTCCATGATTCCTTTAAGCATTTGTACAGATTTATTTCAATATAACGCTAAATATTGTTCTGGTAAAGTTCAGCAGCTTTTTTAGATAACTTTTCTTGATAATCATAAGACATTTTCAAGGCGTTTAAGTAATGATGTACTGAAATCAGCGCGTTTGTTTCAGCGTTGCCAGATTTTTTTTGCGCTAAAATGCCAAATGCTTGTCTAAAAAATGCCAAATAATGCCAAATTTTTATTAATAATGCCAAAAAAAATGCCAACTTTTAAAATAGCAGAAAAACTTTATAAAATAACATTGAACCTTATTTATTAACTATATATTCAATAAAACTATTTTAAAAGTCATATATTAATCAGTTTTAACATATTTTTTATATATTTTTCAATAAAAAACGACGTTTAACATAGATTATTTATGTATTTATTAAATAGATAAGTATGTTCACTCAACTTTCAAATAAATATAAATCTAAAGTTAAAAAATATGAGTTAAAGAAAATTTCAAATTCTGTTAAAAGAATTATAAAAAATGTCTCAATATCAAACTTCCTTTAGTTTAAATCATCAATTAGAGTGAGATCATCTTCGACTAATTCATCATCGTCAGAATACATGTCCGTTCCCAATTTAGTTAACATTTTGTCACTGATTTTAAAGTCTTTACAACATTTATTGCGGCTAGCAAGGTAGGCTTTTACTCGCACTACACTGCTGAGCAATTTGTCTGACATTTTGTTTCTTGGTTTGTTTTTAACAAAGGTGACCTGAGAAAAAATACGTTCCACAAAAGCGTTTGATATAGGGAGAACAAGACAAGTTAGGCAATAGTCTGCTAGTTCCTTAAATGCTGCATCTCCTGATGTATTTTTGTAGTGGCGAACTGCAGTCCAGAACTCAGTTGTATCTTTTGGTATACAAGAATTTTCAAACAGCTCCGTAGAAGACCAGTCAACCAAACTTACTTTTCTGTACTGATCTTCAGTGTTTTGCGCTTTATCCTTCATAATATGCCTTAAAGGCAGATGAGTGAATGGCATTTTAGAACTTTGATGCAGAACCTTTGATGGTGAGAGATAAGATAGACCTTGAAAAATTTCTTTGTTTTCAGGTAGACGTTGATCAAGCTCTTTCAAAAGACGCAAAAGTAATTGAAGACAACGTGTTAGAACACTTTCAATGTTTTTTCTGGCTATTTCTTTTTGGGTTTGAGGATAAGTATCAATATATTTTTGGCAATCTGATAAAAACTTTGCCCCAAAGTCAACACGTTTTAGAGGCAGTTGAACTCCTTGGTTGTCAAGAACACGCTGTTGTAGACTTTTGTAGTGTAGGTTTAGCTCTGAAACTAGCTTCTCAGGATCCACATTAGTGCTTTGAAAAAGAGCATTCAAACGCTCAAATTCTTGAACAATTGGTGTCAAAAAGACGACATAAAGATAGAGAGTTTCATCTTTGAACATGTTGTTAATTGTTGTAACTCTATACCTAATGCAAGCAGGAGCTTGAGCTTCAGCACATAAGAAATAGGCTTTTAATTCGTACCAATTCACCATCAAATTGTAAAGACATTTCCCTCTGACGAGCCATCGAGTAGCTGAATACTTTTGAAATGGTGATGGAGTTCCCATCCTTTCATTGCTTGGATCCATTGTCTGAAAAAGTACTTTGAACTCTTCTCGTCGAATGGAACTTTTTGAAAAAAATTAAGGAATTTCACTGAGCAGAAAGCCAACACTTGATGGCATTAATTCAAAGGAATGTTGAACAATGAGGTTCAAGGAGTGGCATGTACAGCGCATTAAAATACAATTAGGAGAGACTGCCCGAACACGAGACCAAACCGAATTGTGAAATCCAATGACATTTGAAGCTCCGTCTGAGCTATACCCAATGCAGTTTTTTAAAGGCAGTCCAACAGACGTCAACTTTGTTTCCAAAACAGCAAAAAGATCTGCACCAGTGGTTGATATCACAGCAGCTAAACCAAGAAAGTCATCGATAACTGATTTCTGTTCATCTGAATAGTATCGAGCACAAATGCAAAGATGTTTTGTCAAAGAAACATCAGTTGATTCATCAATCAGGATGGAAAAAGGTTTATCTGTCATTGATTCAGAAATTTCTGATTCGATTGATGAAGAAATTACATTTTTTATAATTTAGGTACATTTGGTTCGATGCAGACGAAGGTTTTTAAGGGGACTATTTTTTTCATAAAGAGAAATGATTTCTCCAAGGTGATTTATCGTTGAAATGGGTGCATGACAACACACGCAAAGAGCAAGATGAATATCTGCTTCACAGTCTGCTTTCTTTGATACTAAAGGAAACGTAATCTGGCTTTTTGTGTTAAGATGCTTTTCTCTTGAAGCATGTCTAAAAGTACCACTGTGCTGTTCTACAGACGATTTCCGTGGTTGTATAGTCACACGACAAAGGGTACAGAATGCTGATTCAGTACCATCAGAGCTTTTTTTAAGCCAAGGATAATCCGCTTCCCATTTTTCAAGGTACTTTCTTGAATTTACCATCGACATTGTGCTTAATGTTCTAATACAAATTAAATACAAACCAACTGAAAAAAAAATCAATTCAACAGTTTTTTTAAAAATGCCAAAAAAATGCCAAAATGCCAAAAAAAATGCCAAAATGCCAAAATAATGCCAAAATGCCAAAAAATGCCAATTTTCGCCGCAAGTCAAAAACACAATGAATTGTGTTTTTGACTTGCGGCGAAAAAACCACGTGATCATTGCGTAATGAAAAACGAAATTATCTACCATTATGATATGGGGGCAAACAAACGCGCTGATTTCTGTACAACATTACTTAAACGCCTTGAAAATGTCTTATGATTATCAAGAAAAGTTATCTAAAAAAGCTGCTGAACGTTACCAGAACAAAATTTAGTGTTATATTGAAATAAATCTGTGCAAATGCTTAAAGGAATCATGGAATTCAATTAATTCATCATTTTGAAATTATTGCACAGTTTACAGATGTAGTCAATAAATAAAACAAAAATATTACATATTGATATTCAAATAACATTTAAAAATTCTATATTTTGCTTAAAATTTTTCTCAGTGTAATATTTATTCCTCATGTTTTTAATATATGTGAAATAAATGTTATAAATAAAAAATATTTTTTACAGTTTAATAATGAAATGATCAAAATTACTAATTACAACAACTTGAATCATAACATCGTAACAATATTTATAAAGTTTTTTGGTAAATGGTATGAGGATTAACAATATTATGTCTTAACTTTTAAAAAATAACATAAATGACTTTTTATCTTCATTCACGAAGGTACTCTCTAAAACCAGTGACAACAGCAGAAACTCTACTAAAGAAAATGAGAAACATACTTACAATGAATAAAAATGAAAAAAACTTAATAAGTTCAAGAAAAATTTGTGCCCAAATATTTTGACGATTCAAATACAAAACTTACCAGATACAAAATGTTTTGAGCATACTTAGACATGTTTTGCAATCAAAGTTTGTTTTTGCAAGATGAATCAATTCTATATAAAGCATAAATCCCCGATTTTCTTCTCTTTGGATCAGGAAGCAAAATATAAAAAATCAAGTTCGGATGACTATTAACATTAATTGAACAATTAAAAGCACATTTCTCCATTTTCAAGCGCTTTGTTTGCCTCCATACCATAATGGTAGCCGTTTTGTTAGTTAAAGTGACGTCACTTTAACTAACAAAACCTGCCAAATTTCATTAAAAAATATTTATGACCAGACACCCTATTTTATCGTGCAGTGGAGGTATGTATTTCCATAGTTTAAGGCGGTGGGGGGGGGCAATTCGCCGGTGTTAGCCAGTGAGCATTCAGTATACTTGTTTTTCCATTCATAATAATGAAATATTTTATAAGAACTTTCATTAAAAAGTTTTACTTTTTTAAAATAGTCATTTATTACTAAGAATACTGTTGATTTTTTTAAATAATTGTATAATCATTTATTGTGTTATTTATTGTATACATTTTTTATTGCTTACTCTTTTGATGTGTGATCAAAATCAGTTTCAAGGCTGCCTTGAAACTAATTTCGGTGTGTGAAAAGAGTAAGTAATTTGAATTATCTTTGGCAGAACTTTGCCTTGAAGGCAAAGTTCTCCTAAAGGTAATTTAATATGGTGAAATAAAAATTAAATGACACTTTTATATGGGGATTCAGCATAAAATGCAAAAAAATATATTAAAAACAAAAACAGCATTTTCTCAGCTTTTTTCCATACCCAGAATTTACTATATAACCACCTTAAGCTCTATGATACATAAAAATTATATACATGTTTTATCTATGCGAATAATGATAAATGTATCTACACTTTTTTATAGGTTAATAGTAATTTTTTAAATTAGTTAGTTGTGTTTAAAAGCCAACCCAATTAAATAGTTGTATTATGATTGTTTGATTTAGTGCGTCGTGGGACCTAAAAAGGAAACATTTCTACTTGATGGTAAAGCTAAAAGTTAGTTAACTTGTAGTTTTACACTACCAGCTCATTTAAATATTGGTTGTAGCAATGGACGCCTACTGCATATATTGGCAACTAGCAAGGATTCATATAAAGTAACTGTAGAAAAAATCAATAAGTATTTTAACATCAAAGTTTGTACTAATTAGATTCTGCAACTAGTTAAAACATCAAAAAACTTTGTAAACCATTTTTCACGAGATTCAAAACAATTTATTGACATCTGCAACATGCTCTGTGCATACCAAATAATAACATCTGCTATGGCACAAACATCGCAATCAATTGCAACCTCAATTCACATTGCTATATGTTCTTCATTTCCCTTTCAACAAATCAGTGTTTTATCTGTATCAAACAGTGGTCACTTATCTCTTTTATCTGGTCCTGCTATAGAAACCTCTTCTCATGAACCACTATCCAGTTAGAGAGCTGACTAGTTAAGTCCCAGAAAAAGGTTATGAGAAAGGGATTTAATTTTTTTGTTTGAAACAGCAGTTAACATTAATCGAAAACAAGTTTTCTTATCAAAAGGCAATTTTATACCAACAACTTGACAAAAATTATGCAATTCTTGTACTGCAAAATGACATTGATACTGATTTTACAGGAAGAGTTAGAGGAAATTCAGCAAGTAACACAAAACACCAAAACTCAAAAACACTACTCAGCAGATATTAGAACACTTATATACGACATGCTTGTGTGTTAAGTTCCTGGTTTCTTTCACTACACAATTCATTTTCTACACAATTCTGCAATACAAACTTCGCTACAAGGATGCAAAAGGTATTTATAATTCTTTTACTTTAATATAGTGTAGGTTTGTGATTAAAATTGTTTTTAATTGAGTTAAACTAAAATAAATATTATAATTATTGCATGTTTTTATTTCACATTCTCCTTGCCAACTAACTTTCTTTATGTTATTCATAAGTGATCCAAAGGGTTTTGGGTTCTTTTTGGACCAACACGAGTTGTCCAGAAGATTGCTACCACGCTATAGAGGGAACAGAATACATATGCTTTTTCACACATGTGGTACTTTGATCTATAATTATTCCATATTGAAGATATTTTTGATAATTATTCCATATTGAAGATATATGTTCTGGCTTGACATTATGTGAATGTCTGCAAAATGGTTTGTTTCAAAACTTTACATCTGAAACTTTTTCTTTTTTGTACAGTATTAAAGGATCAACTTTTAATGTTTTTTCTGTTTTGTAATAGTAAAATGTGTTGTGTATCAAGAGTTAGGTGATTTTGTTTTTTGATTTTTATATAGGAAATCATTCTCCTCTTCTCTATTTTGTAATGGGTTTTTCAGTTGTTGTGTTAAATATCTAATGTATTTTTATTTATCTGTTATTGCAAGGTTTTAACTAATAGCATGCTAAAAGATTGCAATTTGCTACTGTCTTAAAGTCCTCAAGATTATATTTTATAATTCAGTAAGATGTTATTATAGTTAGATATTAATTTATTTTGCAGTAATTAACAGTTAAATGTTAATTTATTATACAGTAATTGCTTGCAAATCTTGATATTTTTAATTTTTTTTTAATTTTATATATCTTAAATATATTTTATCTTATCTATAATTGCAAGGTTACACAACGTGATGAGTACTGCACGCTTGCTTTGATGTTTGTTGATCTTCTTCATTTCAATATTAAATCGGTTAGATCATATTTATTTAGAGATTGATTATGTTTGTTAATGTGTTTTTCAGTTATTGTGCTAAATATCTAATTTATTTTTATTTTTCTGTGATACCCAGGGTGTCCTAATTAAATAGGTATGGCTGTATTAATTGAGAGGTTTATTTTATTTTAGATATCATTATATGTGGTTTCCATCGCGTACTAAAGATTCAACTCTTTCTATGGATGTCACAGTTTTATTTACTTCAAAAACTAGGCTTTTTTCAAGCCACAATTCTGTTAAAAACATTACTAAGCAAATAAAATAACTATTATAGTGTAAATTTATTGTTAAAGAAGTATGTTTAAAAAAAAATATTTGTATTTTTTGCAGTTTGTTGGAATTTATTTATTGTTAGATAGATAGATATGTATATGGGCCCACGGAAGGAAACTAAAAGGGGAGCCGTAGTGGGCATGACCTCCCTTCCCCCCTAATTGTTTAGTAGTATCCTTTTTTAAGAAGGTTTTTAGTTGAAAAATATTTCAATTATTATTATGTATATTATGATTTTTTTTTTTTTTTTTTTTGTGCTTTGGCCCCTACTAAAATGTCACGCTTTTGCCTATGATATATATTTATATATATCTTTATATAATGACATAATAAATTTCCATTAACTTTTATTAAATCTAAACTTTTGTCCAAAGTAATTGAAATTCATTAGTAACGATAAAAATAAGGCTAAATAAAGGGCGGAAAGGCTATGAATGTCTTTAAAGTTCAACTATACGCTATAGAAAACTTAGACTGATACATATTTAATAACAAATATATATATTTTATAAGTATATATATATATATATATATATATATATATATATATATATATATATATATATAAATATATATATATACATATATACATATATATAAATGTATATATATAATATTGTAAATACGCGATATTTTTTTTTTTTTTTTAACACATATATGAAACTTTTTATAAATTTTATTATTAGGTTTTAAGGATTAAAAACATTTTGTTATTTTCGAAATTTTTTTAATAAAATTAAATCGTTTTGCACATTTCACTAAAGCAAAACTATGCGCAAATTAACAATGAAGTTTAATTACTAAGCTACCGTTAGCCGAACGCGAGTTTTATACGATGGTTGCATTTTTCTTAAGCAATCCTTCATAAGAAATAATGTTACTTAAATGGTAATAACTTTTTTTGTAATTATTCTTTTTTCATAAAATTTTCACCATTGAATTACAAATTCAAAATTCTTTCGTACCATATATAATACTTATATAAACAAATGGTTTGAAATTTTTACACACGTACCTAAAGTATATTTTAAATATTTACATTTTTAAACTGAGACATTTATTTAGACTCGCTCCAGATTATATCATATATGATATAATGTGTGTGTGTGTGTATATATATATATATATATATATATATATATATATATATATATATATATATATATATATATATATATATATATATATATATATATATATATATATATATATATATATATATATATATATATATATATAGAAAAGAAAGTTTGAAAACAATTTTTTTTTAAGTTTTTATTTTTGAAAACAATACTTTTTATTTTTTAGAGTAACAAATAATAAACATTTTTAGAGCAACAAATAATAAACATGGTTATTAATTGTTCAGTTTACAACTGTAAAAGCAGATTTGATAAATGTAGTTTAATTTCTTTTTACAGATTCCCTTTAAATGATGAAATTTTATGTAAAAAATGGGCAGCAGCAACTAAATGTTTACGAATTACACCTAGTAAACATAGTAGAATCTGCAGTAAACATTTTAAATTAGAAGAGTTTGAGTGTCAAGAGAATGGGAAACGTGTGCTGAAAAAAAATATTGTGCCTTCAATATTTGACTTTCATGAATCATTGAACAAAAATAACAAGCGGAATCAGCTATATAATGATGATACATCACACATTAAAAAAACAATTTGTTCTATCTCGAATAAAGAGGTAACAGAGCCTGAAATTACAAATACTATAAAGAAGAAATACTGTTAAGAAAAAAACACTTACAAATACTATTAAGAAAAATACTATTAAGAAAAAAACACTTAAACAAAATTCTCCAAAAAAACTATTACTTAGAAAAAAGATTAAAATATTAAAATAAAAGCTTAAACGAAAAGATAAAAAAATTGCTTCACTTAGCAAAGTTATTCAAAACTTGGAGAAAAAAAAAATTATTTCCATTGATGTTGCTGAATTACTTGAGAACGACTTCTCTGGACTGACTAAAGAACTTTTGAAATCTGAATTAAAAAATAGAGGCAAAAAAAAAAAAGGTTATAGATACTCGCCTGGGTTTTTTGGAGATGTTTTCAAGTTTTTACAAAATAAGACATTTGAGGATTCATCATACAAAGATTGCGCATTAATATTTGATTCTATGCATATCCGGGCTGCTCTGCGGTATGATAATGTTACTGGATCATATGAAGGTTTTTCTAGTTTTGGAAACAATATTCTAGCCTATGACTCAGATAAATTAGCAACCGAAGCTTTTATTTTTATGGTTATTGGATTGAAAGACCATTGGAAATGTCCTATAGGCTACATATTGTGTGATAAAATTTCCTCAACGGATTTAAGTTGTCTAACTAAAAATGCTTTACATTTATGCGCTAATCATAATCTGAATGTTTGGAGTATAACATATGATGGACTTATTTCCAACTTTAGTGCAATGAAAAATCTTGTGTGTTCATTCGGAAGTAAAATTAAAGAGATGTGTGGTAGTTTTCCCCATTCTGAATATGATCATCCTATATATTATATCCCTGATCCTTGTCATATGCTTAAATTAGCTTGAAACGCTCTGTGTAGTATCAGTATCTTTGTTGATGAACAAAATCAATATATAAAGTGGGACCATATTAAAGCATTGCATAAACTGCAAGAAGAAGAAGGATTTAAGTTTGCAAATAAACTTGGCAGTTACCACATTGACTTTTGCAGACATAAAATGAATGTTTAAATTGCAGCTCAAACGCTAAGTGGTTCAGTTGCTGATGCTATAGAGTTTTTGATGGTTTCAGGTCATTCAATTTTTATTGATGCCCAAGGCACAATTAATTCTATTAGAACTTTAGATAAATTATTCGACTTGTTAAACTCTAAAAACCTTTTGGAAAAAGGATCTAAGAAACCTTTGTTTTTGAATGAAGCTCCAAAATGGATAGAAACCATAGAAAAATCTGTAAATTACTTAGTTAACTTATCAAACCTATCTAAAACTTCTTTAATTAAACACAGAAGAAAGACATTTGTACTTGGTTTCATTGTAGCAGCCACAAGTGTTAGAGATTTATCCCTTAACCTTTTATCTAGACATGAGAATCCTTTTGAATTTATTTTAACATATAAACTGTCACAAGATCATGTCGAATTATTATTTGCTTGTATTCGAGGCAAAAATGGTTTCAATAACAATCCAGATGCACGTCAGTTAAAATCTGCTTTAAAAAAAAAATTTATTAAGAAACTCTATTATAGGATCAAAATTTAGCAACTGCCTTACTTTTGACCAAAGATTTTCTGGCTCAATCTTTTTATTAAAGTGGAGTAAAAGGAGATCTCCTCTTGTTGAACAAAATATAAAATATCTAGTGAGGATTCTAACTATTTTAAAGACCTTGCTAGTTGTCTTTCATCAGTCTCTACTTCAATTTATAAAGTAGCTATACTTGGATATATTGCAGGGTTTATTGTAAGAAAACTTTATAGTAAAATTACATGTCTAACTTGTGCCAATAGTTTAATTTCTCCGAAGACTTTATCCACTGATCATGAGTATTCTATATTTTGCAGTTCATCATGGAAAAGTTTTATAACTTTTAAAAATTGAGGTGGTTTAATCTTTCCATCCTGTAGTGTTTTAAAGATTGTTGAAAAATGTGAGCACGTTTTTAAAGTTTTGATGATTGGGGCAGACCTCCATAATTTAAAAATATCTTCTAAAAAAAATCTTAAAACCTATCTGGTGCACTTTATAAATCAAAAACTTGCAAATGACGCACTGTTTACTGAACTAAATATGCATGAACATATTTTTAGAACATGAGATTTTGACTGAAGACATACATTCTTCACAGCTTTTAAAAAAATTATAGAAAAATATTTAACATTGCGTCTGCACTCATATGGTCAGCTGTACACTAGAAATGAGTTGCATAAAGGAAAGATTGGATTACGGCAACAGTCCAATAAGCTTGTTTTGTTCAAAGGTTTATGAAAAACTACAATAGTAATATTCAATATTATTATTATAGTATGCTATTTATGCTAAAAAATTCAATATTATTATTATAGTATGCTATTTATGCCAAAAAATAAAATTATTTCTTTAAAACAAAAATTTTATTAAATTCTTTAACTGTAACTGTTAACTGTAAGTTACAGTTTTTTGAACTAATTTAAATTTTTTAATTGAAAACCTACATTAAAAATAAAAATTTATACCTATTTATATCTGCCACACTTTTGATTTATTTTCATAATGGAATATGTGTTCTATTATAACAATAACTCAAAGGTTTCCAACAGGTTACTTTTAAGTTACAGCTGTTAAAGTCAAAAACATATTCTTTATCAACATATATTTATATTTGCCAAGTAAAAATGTAATATCTTTGTATTATATAATAACTTCTAACTTTCTTTATCTACAAACGCTTTTAAATAGCTGTTTTTTTAAATAACAGTTTATAAATAGATATTTTTAACATGATCAAGGAAAACATGTGTTTATAAATAGATATTTTTAACATGATCAAGGAAAACATGTGTTTATAAATAGATATTTTTAATCATGATCAAGGAAAACATGTACATAGTGATTGTTTATTTGCTCCAATGAAAAAACTGCATCATTTTGAGATACAGGTAAAACTTGTTCATTGTCTTCAATAACTTGATTAACATTTACGATGCTTGAACTTTGTAAAATATTAAGTTTTTTGTTTATTTTCATAACCATATTATTTGATCTAAGTAATCTTCCTCTTTTCTTTGCTCGAATATTATCTTGACTTTTTTTTTATTGTCTCTTTCCTTATAGTATGCTTCTACCTCAGTGGCTGATACACTTTTCCCTGCTGTTATTGGTAACTTAAATTTTTTGCTTACTTCATAATTAAGATGAATATCATCAACATAATTCCTAAACGATTCTCCAATATTGAGTTGAATATCTATATTTGTAAAACTGGGTAACTTGGAGAGAACATGTTCTGGTACAAATGGATATATGCCAGTAGCCTTAAATCCTGCTTGGA